GCGCGACTGACTGCCTTAAGTACACTCTAGTGACCCATGCATTTAACAGCAATATTGCTTACAACCTCAAAATTTATTGCATTCCAATAGCCTCATTTTMTTGGTGATGACATCACAGTGTACACGAGYATTGGTAAATTGGTAAGTTTGAATAACATAAGCTTAGCATTCTGATCTCATTCAACTTCGACATTTTTCCTAGAGTAATAATGTCACCATAACATTTTATCTATGATCATACTAGTATGATGTTARCCACTGCGTTCTTTTTTATTTGTATATCAGATGCAAGAGGTTCGTGTGCAGCTCCGTAATGTTGAGCACATTGTACGATTGTACGCTGTTGATGGTGAGTTTACTAACAAWTCCCTCCTACATTGGTATCCCGTTTTATCTTCTTCCTTTGCATTCTTTCCGTTTCTAATCTTCTTTCCTTAACTCCKGTCTCCCTTCTTTCCAGCTTTGCTCTGCCTTCCATTTTTTTCTTTCTCCCATCCATCCTCTCTTCCGTGCTTCGTATCCTTTTTTTCCTTGATCCCTGTTTTCCATCACTTTCTCGCCATCCCATTTTTATCTTCTTTCTTTACATTCTTTACATTTCTAATCTTCCTTCTCTAACTTTTTTGCCCTCTCTTCCCAGCTTTCTTCTGCTTTCCTTTGCTTCTTCTCTACTTCCCAGATCTTTTCTTTCTCCGATCCTTCCGTGCTTCACTTCTTWTTTCGTTGATCCCATCCATCCAATATGACATAAAGTATAGTTCCAACTGTTAGTGCTGTCAATTACAACATATCACCAATGCAAGCCTCATCAAAAAGTTCTTTATTCATTTTTCCATTTCTAAACAACAGCAAATACTCGCATTYTATTTCCGAWKCAGCAGCTAYAACTTTAGTCTCCTCGCAGCCGTGTTTAGTTTCGGTAACGGGTCTCGCAACCTCGTTACGTGACGCGTGACCGAAACTAAACACGGCTGCGAGAAGACTACTATTAATTTTTTTTGTTGTTTTGTTTTTGTTTTTTTTCTCACACCAGGTCCCCAAGGAAAGAGTCTTGACATTAAAAACGTTGTTGATATTCGTAATATGGGCAATAAAGTGAGTAACGGATGAATTTGCGGATGAAGCAAAGARTAGTTTCTCATTCATGTCTACTTTTTAGGAATTTCTCATGCGCATTACCACCGATATTGAAAACCAAAACAGAGAATTTTACACAGACTTGAATGGATTAACGGTAACTTTATCATCATTTTAAGGAAAAAATAAATAAATAGAATAGTCTAATATCTAATAGGATACCGTTTGATACTCGTTTCCATTCTTATTTGTTAGCTTTTGTCTTGTCATTTCTATTTTTCATGTTTTCCATCATCTGTTTCACTTACTGGTTTGTTATGTTTTGTTATTTTCAAAAAAAATTATAGGTCCAGAAGCGAAGAACGYTAGACAAGCTTCCCACCCAAGCTAACTTCTATCCAATGCCYGCTATGRCTTTTCTTCAAGACCGTAGAACTAGACTGACTGTCTTGTCAGCGCAACCAAATGGCGTCGCTTCTCTACAGAAAGGTAAAAAAAAATTTAATCACCAAATAATGCACTGGACTAGACGCAGCGCTGTGTGATTATGTTTGAAGGCATTCTTGTGGTGGTGGATTTACAGATATTTCTAGTAAGGCTGTCACCTTCAAGCAACTTACGAAATGATATTTAGCTGAGTGCCGTGCTTAAGTTATTAACGAATCTAAGAAGTACTGAATTATGCTAAATCCTTTTTGTTTTTTATTGCCTTACCAACGCTAACTTTGCAAAAACCGGTGCTCTTTAGTCTTTATAAGACTAGGCCATCTTGCTATACCTCAGTACCATGATGCATATTGCCAAACAAACATGACGTCATTGGAGAAGGGAACATTTGTTACTATGACAGCKGTCAATAATCCTCATATCAGTTTCTGGTTGAGCATCTTCGACGATCAATGATTAACACAGGTGTCTGTTTTATAAGTCTTTAAATCCATATGGTTTTTAGGTTCACTAGAGATTGTGTTAGATCGAAGACTTAATCAGGACGATAACCGGGGACTTGGTCAGGGCGTCCTGGACAACAAACCAACTCCAGCTGACTTCAAGATCCTGCTTGAGACATTCAAAAATACCAAAGAATCGGTGAGTCTGATTTTGCAGTTTATGCACAAAATGCAAGTAGACTATTTACACCATTGGCTGATTAAAATGCCTACTGTTTACAGACAAAACGAGAACCACTTGCCTACCCCTCCCTCCTGAGTCACCGATTGTCCGACGAGCTACTTCGCCCACAGTTCACTTTTATAGCTAAAGCTGAAACTACGAACGCGCAACTCATGCCTAGTTTTGCYGGCTTGATGTCGCCATTACCATGCGATGTGTCACTTTTAATGCTAAGGACAATTCAGGACATAASCGCCGATTCGAGACCGTCAGATGAGGCCCTTATGATATTGCACCGGAGRGGTTATGACTGTACCCTTGTCAATAAATGCTTAAAGAATACTAGTGGTGGCAAGGTAGGTTTCTCAGATTTATTTTCTTCCTTGTTAAATGTTATGTTAGATAACGTTGAATTCGGATTTTAAAAAACTCATGAAAAGGGTTTTGACCAGTACTCTGATCTCTGAYAATGCAGAGGCAGAAAGAGGACTTTCTTCAGGGAGGGTTGCAGGTCACCAAAGATGGTGAAGCACTTCACAAAAATTGTCAMAGAGGAGACAGAAATTGGGGAAAATACTATAGATTACAAAATCCTTGGAGGGTGTCGCGCACCCTCCGCAACGCTGAGTGCACCATTGGAATAGATCTCGTCAAGTTAACTTATAGGCCAACCTATTATAGAAACATCCATTTTTATAGGTATATGTAGAAAAACTATGGAGTTAACCCAAGATTAGCTTTAGTGATGGACGGTTGAGCAGTTTGTTCCCTGGGCTTTGATCAAGCTATTCGCTCTGTCCAGTTCATTCAACTATTTTTTGTTTTATCCATGTATCTATCAATTAATTCACTATTTGTAATATTTTCCGTTGATTTATCGAATCATTTCCTCAATTCCGCAGAATTATCTATATTGTTGCTGCCTGAGCATCGTTTAAWTTCCCTTTGKTTGTGGTTATTCAACCGAAATATCGGAAGTTGGCTATTCGTTCAGTTTGTACATTCGTCATTTCAACAATTATCCATGTATTTAACCATTTAAAGGCTCTGTATAACCTCGAATACTTTGCGAGCGTTTGTTTTTGTTTTGAATAGAAATGCCTTTTTTTCTCGATAGCTTGAAACAGCCGTCAAAATAATTTCGTGTTACACGAAGTTATGCTGAGGTGCGCAAAACATCCAGGGTGATACTTGGCCTCTAACCATCCATCCAGACTTAATGTAAATTTTGTTTTATTCAGGTACTTCTCGATAATTTATTCAAAGACTTATCACTGTCCAAGCTCAATTCAGTTTCATTAACGATGCTTCACGAACACGAGCAGAAAGACCCCGCCACGCCCATCGACATTGAGCCAATGGAACTCTACTCATTTAAAGTCAAGCTTAGCTGAAGATTATAAAGATTTTAGAATTCAAGTAAAATTGTAAATATAGTAGAAATAATGAATCCACGATATGATAGTAGACCAATTAGATTATTTCGGTATTTCAATACATACACCTGAATGCTTTCATATTTTTCAAACTTTTTAAGATAGGTTCAGGAAATTGTTAGCTATAGTAACTGACGTCACTATGCGTTTCTCCTAGTTTCTTTGCAGACAAAACAAATAAGAAMAACGYGAAATATATATGTATATAAMTCCAATCAGCCATTACACTGTGAAATTTTCTGGGGAACTTGCCCTGCAACKCCGTGCATTTTTCCTCAGGAACTTGCAATATTTCTTGGCTGAGATAAGCTGCGAACTAAGATGGCGGTCCATCTCGAGAAAAGTTGCTGGAGCAGTGTTACATAGGTAATGGCGTTGCAAGTTGCTGCAATGCGTAACAAAATGTAGACTTGAGTTCTACTTTCTGTTAAATCGGCGATTCTTCAKCAACTTCTGTCACAACAGTCTCGCAAGACAAGTTCTTGAGAAAATCGCTAATAAACAGTGTCGCCATTTTCTTTTACAAAGCATGATGGGAGAACAAATTGGCGCACATTTTTATATCCGCTRAAATGATTCCAATAACTTGTTGAATTTGCTAAAATGTAAATTGTATGCAAGCTTTGAAAACGAAACCCTGGAAAAAGGAATACCAGGGGTCAGTACTTCATGTAAGACCCTATGAATTGGCACTTGCCAATATATTACTTTATTAGGAGTAGGCTTAGGATTAGGGTATATATCGTSACGGTTCTTACATGAAGTATTAACCTATGAGGGATTGTAAAATATGACAGCGCTTATTTGCCTATTCTAATAGTATTCATAACTAAAAACTTCAGTAAGTTATTGTGTAAAGCTGGTGTAAAATATTTCCTTCTATAATATCAGTTTCAACAATTTCATAGACTCTACCAACAGAAATATAAATTTCTTCATGKAAAGTGCTGATGTACGGGATTTTCGCACGAGTTGGTGATGAATCAGATTCAWAAMAAGGAAGAGAAAAAGAAAGAGTTTGTTTTTAATCGGATTACTTGACTACGATTGTTCAAACGGTGTCAGTGGTGGAATAGGAAAACGCTAAACCCGTGAAACTAACTTTGATATTAATAAATGAAGCRGTATTTTGTAATAACGGCTTCTGTGAATGATCTCTGGCTTCATTGCACGAAACAAGTCTACTATCCAGAAAAATACGATGATTATTTTATAAGAAAAATATCTATATAAAAGCAATACATCAACTCATTAAGGACAGAACATTGTAAAAAGTCAAATGAATTAATGTATTAAAGATCRTGATTTACCTGAAGTGAAAGTATCATCCCTTAGCGACCAGGAAGATTCCCTTGGTTATATTTCATCAAAACTATACCTGACAATGCGCTCAAAGCACTAACCAGCTTACAATAGTTAAGACTACATGATTTTGAGAGTGTGAGCATTCAAGTCTCCTGTTTACATGAGGTAGGGTTCCCCTAGTGGTAGGGCCAAAGTCCTTTGTTTTAAATCCTCCAGAGAAAAGAAAACAAAAGAGTTAGCCCTAACACTTAGGGGCACCCTGTCTCAGGTAAACAGGGTCTTAAACGCTTTCCATCTATGTCACGATAGTTCTTCGCAGTATCGTAAGTCAACCAATCGTATTTGTTGACTTCAATTACAACATGCATCACAATGGAAATGTCGACGTCATTTGATGTCATGGAGACAGCACGAGGAGAGCCAGCGTTCCAATAAAAAGTCATGGTCAGCAGATTGCGGCGAATCAATTTCATCATTTTGTCACGTCGATTCAAAGTAAATAAATTTCCTTTTATTCTTTGCTTTTAATAGCAAATTTTTGCTTTTTGCGAAAAAACAGAAATGCATACTGTCCAGACTGATTTCGCCAACTATCGAGTCYCAGAGCCTGCACTTCTGCCACCCAGCGGAAGCAAATGCATGACTCTGGAGGCTCCTAATGTCGTACCCAGACCCCGAGTAACCTCCCGAGTAACCTCTTTGTCTGCTACAAAGTTTAGTTAGCTATGCGATCTCTGGGTAAGAGACTGTGAGGTTCTGTTATTTCTCTATTCACGGATTAGTTGAAAATGACGTGAGCGCGCGTTTTTGTTTCAAGTTGTTTTGTTTTCAAGTCGCCGGTAATGCGCGCGCTTCATTTTTCAAGAGAAGTACACGAAAAGTACGTAAATTTTCATGATCTAAACCGGAAGACAAGCTAACCTAATTTTCTCCGAAAAGCGTCACATACCGTACCGCTGTTATTTAGCCGTGAAAACTCTGGGATCGAGATTTGTTACTGCCACTATTACTCACGGATATTTTGTTKACGTCACGTTTTACTAGAATGTTCGATTAGGTCGTGCCTAAGTAAAACCGTTACCATGATTACTAATGACGTAAGATTAATYCATTGTGATGTAATGTACAATTTAATTTGCCGTCGTGAAAATCATTCACTTTTGCARCTCTTCAGAAAGAGGCCTATAAGTCCACGGTACATTCGGTACATTGAAAACGTAGTAGTCCAGRTTCGATTTGTTGGAAATATATTGGAGAGCATGAGTGGCTCTTCTGTAATCTCATTGTGGAAGATTAACTCAAGGAAACGGAAACGTCCTACCACAACGGAAATCATCAAAAGRAATTTCCAATGAGAAGAMGTAAGGTTGTTTCTTTAACAAGTGAGTAGTTTTTAGAAATGAGTAATTCTCTCTTGTAACAAAGTCAAACATTGTAGTTCCTATAGTTGTGCTGCTCGAATTTTTTTTCCATKTCTCATTTGCTTGCAGGATACTTTTTAAAAGATTCTTTCTGATTCATAATATGAAATAAATAAATTTTCCAAACTGTTTTTTTAAAAATGTCGTTTTTTATAATGACGCATGAGGCTCATGTAAAAACGCTTTTTATCAAATATTTTCGTATTCCTGATTTTTAGCCTACGTAACGGCGGCCATGTTGGTAGTTCATTGTTAAACTTTCGAGGAAATTCTTGAAAACCAGCAACGTTTGTCTGAAGTACAGTTAAAAATATTTCKCACAATTCCGTTTTATTGCCTGAATACACCTTTAAAAGTGTCAATGCGAAGCAGATTAACATAAGCAGAAGCTCATGCTTTTAAGTTCCATGGCCCACCAGCATCCCTTTCGAGCCATTGATTGCGTTTAATTGGTTCACCTCATTTTCCATATATGAAAAATATTAAACACGATTGCGCTGAATTCTGGTGTACCACGTCGCTTTAATAGTGAAAAATATAAACCGTTGCTCTACTTCTGTTCATGTCGTGGTCATAGGCTGCCCAACTATTGCTTGAAAGAAGAAAAGAACGAGCGCGCGACTTTATTATCGGCCGCGCACTTTGCGCTGTGCATACGGTCGTAGTGTAAATATACACTAACCGCCTTCGGTGTTTCTTCTGAAATCGAGCGAACTCATATTTCGCTTGCAGTTCGGTAAATTCAACTCTTGGACAGACGGAAAAAATATAAATATGGTCGTTATCTGGAGTTCATAAAACCCTTTTTCCCGCTTACTAATTGTAGTGAAGAGAGCTTTTTAGAGTATTTAGAATTACGTAAGGAAAGCATTAAAATAAATTGAGGAAGTTTGTATGTTTAAAAAATACTTTTATTGTTAACCGCAAAAAGCAATTAATGTGTGTATGCGTTTTAGTAAAATTTAAGCAGTTCTACAAAATAGATACAAAATTTTATTGAAGAATTTGTACGACAAATGTTTCGCACTTTACTGTATGCATACCCATATTCTTGAAGTATAGAAAGTACAAAAAATGCTTCTATATTTCGGACAACTACCAAAGCTAAGKTCGATAATTAGTTATGATATATATACAGGTCTTTACAAATAACAATATGCGACAGAAGTAAAGGTTACACTTATATAATAATAAGTATGTTATTGCATGATATAAGTGGAAAAGGGTTCCCGACGAAAAGGACCTTTCTTAACTATGCAATGATTTCAGTCCCAAAACGATATCAATTTRCTGAWTGACATGTTGGTATAACACCCTTTGAATCGGYAATAGCTCTATATCCTAAGTCAAAAACGCATTCTATTAAATTTTCGACACCAAAATGTCCACCTAAGGTAGMCACCTCCCCAGGCAACTCTTTTTTTCTCCTTTGGGCTTCCTTTGTAACGGTCATCTTGGCCGCAAAAAAGACAGGAAGCCCGTGATTCTTAGTGATGCCTGCTGAGGAGGCTACACCGAAGGCACCTAACACTTTTAACGGGGAGCCGGTTTCCTTGCGGARTTTGTGTTGATTTTTTTCTTAACAAATGTGACTAGGCGATTTGGRCGAGTATTGAGACTTGGTTTTACCTGACAAACTACCTTAAAATGACTATGGTATTGATAGAAATTTACGTGAAAAGTTCCGTGACAATTTGTGAGAATTTGAGTACATTAACATCAAATTGCCTTTACCTCAGCTGATAAAAATATAATATGAACATTTACAATGCTAAGTCAATCTATAAAAAATATCAGTTGAGGAGGAAAAAAGCAATCATAACACTTAGCATAATTGTGACACCAGTGGCCAAACGACGCACGCTTGCGTTACATAAGTCACCCGAACAGCAGTCAGTCTCGCAATCTGTTTTTCCGTCCGCTGATTTGCAGTACTCGACCGCATTACACTCTGCAACTTTTAAGCATCCACGGTAATATTTCTTCTTGCCAAAAATCTTGTAAGTAGCTCTTGCACATCTGGATACCTGTCCAATGTAGCAGTCTTCGTTTCGACGATTTTGGTAGCAATCTAAGTCGGATGTAGTGCTTGTGCATGCATTGCATCGTAGACTTGTGACTAGAATCAAACGTATTATAACAGTGATGAAAGAGAAAATGGACGCGAATGATATGTTAAGTGAGTAGAGATAGCTCCCTCCAAGTTCCTTGTCCCTTCGTCGAAGCGAGGGGAACCGACCTTAAATTAAAAGGTACTATCTTTTTAACTATAAGGATTATGGTAGCCGAAAGGAGAGAAAGAATCAAAAGATAAAAACACAAATAAAACGGTCGGCAAAACACTTTTTGCAAAACATAAAATTGGCGAATTGCAAACGTAGTAAACGTGCTGTGACGTCATAGTGCAATAGAACTATTGCTTTTGGCTATTTCACGAAGTTAGCAGAATTAACTTTAATATAGATCACTTTAAACCAGTGCAATGGAAGTATCAATCGAAAAGCTAGCCTATCTCCCTTCTTTAACAGAACGAACAATATATATATATTATACATACAAACGGACAATGTTTACAAAAATCAAAATAGCAATACCTATTGGGATGAGCACAACAATTATTGTTGCCAATAACAGCACCAATGATTTCATCTTTTCTTTCCTGAAAACAGTGAAACGAATAGTACAAAGTGACGTTATACAGTAAAAATAAACATCTCAGTACACATGGTACACCAGATTAGTGTGCAAAAGTTGAAAAAAACTGCCGCAGAAATAAAAGAGCCTTTATAAAATTAACTAAGACTAGAATACAATTGAAATTACAGTAATGACAGTCAGGAAAAGTCGGTGTTATGTCATATGAATATAGACCAAGTCTAATAATGCGAATGGTGATTTTGTAGTGCGGACATCGAGTCGAGTGCAGTCGAAACGTCTATATTCAGATTCGACCTGTTGGATWTAGTTTCAAAATTGTTACACTATTTTGTATAGAAAACATCACTTTATGAACAGCAAAAGTGTTCAAACTTTGATGTATTCAAAGTATAAAGTCCTGCGCTAATAAAAACATTCGATGTGTTTACAAAGGGCTTTGCAGGCGAAACGAGATTGGCTCGACATTCGACTATTATCCACATCCACTCTYGCCTATAAATATTTGTTTGATTATTACTGTAAGTTATAAGTAATTCAAAAAATATTATTTATATGTATTGTTATGAAAGTATGAATAAGTAAAATCCTGAATTTTGGTGTCATAACTATTTTTTACAACAAACTCACTCATCCAAACAACGCGACTGTTGTTGAATAAATTCACTGTTATAAACGTAAGAAGCTCAGAATGTTCAGAGCTCTATCCAAGCTGGGAATAATAATATCAATATTGTAGCAACATATGTGTTGCAACACACCAATCACATWCATTGKWTACTTACTTATAGCTTTGAGGATCTTTGAAGTGATGTTCGACGTTCCGATCGCGTTGAGAGGCAAAAACAGCTTCAACTACCTGAAGTCGAGCAAKCATAATCAATTTTTGTCATTCGGTTAACTAAATTTAACGAAACGTGTTCGATGTTGATTTTTATAGTCGAAAGAATCGGTTATAGAACTTGTATTGGCACAGAATAAGAGCTTTTGCCCCCAAATGGATATCTATTTTACAACTTCGACCTGGATGGAGCAGGCTCCGTTTTCATTATAAGCCAAAAACCTACGATTTTCAAGAGCTAAAGCACAAGATTCTTTCTGGTTATACTTTTGTAACATTATGATTGAAACAGGGAAGAAAAGAAGTAAATTTACCTGATGTTTTCTGTAGTGGTTATTATGCAAAATGCAGTCGGATTCAAACGGATTTCGTCATGCGCAGATTATGAACACCGAAGCGTGTCGCTTATTGTACWCTTAAAATCACAACAGCGGCTTCCAAGTCAAATTTTTCGTTATATATTATTAGTTATATCAAATCTAACAACAATTTATTTCAATTTATTTCATTTCTTCCTTTTTTGGACGCGATAAACGGGTCAAGAAATGATTCTTTTTAATTCCATCGTGAAATATGTGACTTATGTAAAGAATCGAATCGCTGTGGTGCTTCGACCAATCAGAGAGCGAAATAAACTGACTCATGCATGTTCGTCACGGATAATAATAATGAAACCCTGGACTGTCCACACGGATGTCAACAACGATTCAAAAAGTATATTTCTTGATAAAATCCTCCAGGAATCGCAAATAATAAAGAATTCCTAAAAATGTTCAGCTCAGTGTGAAATGCTGAAAAATAAACATGMAAGTTTTCTGTCGAGCAAGAAGCAAACAATGATGAAGAATGCTTAACTATCTAACAAAAACGCAACTTAGATCGAGTATTTTTTCCCAAAGTCATGTTTAATGGAGAGAAATTMATGAGAAAAGCGGTGTTGTCAAAAAGTTAAATTCTATACATTGCAAAAAAACAGAAGTACTTCTGAAAAAAAACTTACTGGCGTTTCGGATGTTAGTAGGGCATTATTAGATATCCATTTCATTTCAAAATCACTTAACATCAATGAATTTTTTGCGTTTCACACTAGATAATTATTCGAAAATAATCATGAATCGCGAAGAAATTATGAATAATAACTATAAATTGACAAAGATAAAAGGAATTACCTAGTAACTAGAGCGGATTTCGTATGAGTGGGAAACGKACGGTACTGTACTGTGACCGTATAAATCGTACTGTAACCASAGGCTTACCAAACTATCGAGAAGAGTCGGCTCCAGGCCTCCYATGGCGATTATCCRCCGAAAGCCGTTGAAATCTCTTCAAATTAGGCCATTTTCAACATCGATATTTTGGTTATTTTGGGTGGTTATATTCTGKTTTTTTAGTTCAGAAATAAACTTTAATGCTTTCTGAATGTGKATTTGTGGTTCTTTTTGCCGTGCGATGCGTTTTTCATGGGTAAATGATMGCGAGCCCCGGTGTGGGGATTTACTTCACCAGAGCTCGCGATCATTTACCCATRAAAAACGCATCGCACGGCAAAAAGAAAAAAAAGAAAAAAGCATTGCCGGCGAAGGCCTCAAGCCCGACTCTGACGAAGATCTGTCCTTGGATCATGGCAGCTCACCCAACGGACAAATCTTACAAGGGATCGATTAGGGCATTGCCCGTGCAGGTAGGAGCGCTAAAGATGGAACAGGACGACATGCGGTCTCGCTCAACGACAGAGAAGGGGGTTGTGTGCCCAAAACAACCACAAGACTAAACCATCCGAAGGTAAATCTGATAGTATGCACGCATATGTCGATTTATATACCTTACTACCCAAAACACAAGGGAAAACGACCATGGACACCGAAAATAAACGGCCCGCCACGATTGAATCCTTGATCATTGGTTGGAGGCGTGGACGATCTACGAGGGACAACTAATGTCAAGCGATCACACGCGGTACAACGAGCTGGCACGATATCGCTCAGGCAAATCGTAAATTCCGCTGGTCTTCAGTGTATGAGTACGATATCCAATTCAGGACGAGCTTGGACAGCATCGCCTCATCAGGACGACTGGACATTGTCAACACAACGTTATACTCAACAATTTTGGATTCCTCGAGCGTCAGTTTCAACCATTGGTGACCTTGGTTCCCAGAAAGTCCCCATTCCAACTTACGATCGACATAAACCTTCAAAGTGCCCATACTCGCAATCCATGCATATGATAATAGAAGTAGAGTCGAAAGTAGAGGGATGACGTGGTATCARAGTCAATRATATGCCTTTTTCCAGTTAAGAGCGAACAACCGCTGCTTTAGTGGACAACAGTCTCTCRTGCGCATCTAGACATTACCAAAAACAAAAGAAATCACGAAAAAATGTTGTAATTACAATAGYACTAAGTCACAATACAGTGCCGTCCGTTTCCCACTCATACGAAATCGGCTCTAAGCCGGCAAGCATGCACGGTAATCATATCATCTAAAAGTGTAGATCAGTTTATTGGATGGTGGTAACCGCGGTTTAGGGAAAGTGTTTATTATACTGAGAAGGATGAATTGAAATACTCGTGATATATTTTCAATAGGTCATTTTACAATTCTACCCAAAACACAGACTATATTGAAAACAATTCTTACGGAATGATAAATGCCTGTGCCTTTSTCAGGTCTCCAGTGATGTCTACTTTGCAGGGGTTACAAAAATAACACAAAACAGCGCTTTACCTTTATTCAGAGAATGTCTGGGAAAATGAGCACTAAAGAAACACGATAGAGAACAAAATAAACGAACTGATTGTTTAGAATATGAATGATGTAAATGATATGTATAAAAGATCTCAAGAGCCAATGAACTGAGCAAAGTGACCTACGAAAGGAGAAATTATGCTAAATAATAAGGGAAACATAGAAAATCAATAAGAAAAACGCACGTGAACACGGCAAAGCTTTGTTGTCTGTGCGACAAATTAACATTAACAAAATATTAACTAAAAATTCTTATACATATGGTTTGCTGTATCAGCAAACTGCTCTTTTATTCATTATTCATTATCAGCTGATTGATATTCACTATTATCATTCTCTATGGTAGCAACAGCCTATTGCGTAAAGCATCTCCCACTTAGAGTTTCTCAGTTGTCCTTCCAGCGAAGTTTYCATCAAAAATTTTGTGAATCCATTATAGCTGTCTGCTCCAATTGATGAAGGTTTACATTCTTCATATATATTACTCGTGAAATACGTCTCGAAGACATTTTTTTCATCCAGGGCTTTACACATAGCAGGTGCTAGTTCCAAGTTGTCCTTCTCTGTGATGGGATACTACGAGAAAATCAAAAGGAACATCATACAATCAATACCCAACRATTAATTAATCTGGTCATATCTTTGACATACTACCACTCGTAAAACCTAACCTACCTAAAATACATTCATACCAAAAATGTTACCAGTACCTTCATCACCTATCTAATATCACACCTATAAGATCCTCGTTAATTCTGATYGGCTGACTGTACACTTTCGCTGTGTTAATATGTTTTGATGTGTTGTTAATGTGTTTTGATGTTTTAATTTAGATAAATGGTTGGAACTAGCGGTAAACTATTGTGAGCTATGTCAAAAGGTAGGTGACATAACTTAATTTAGATAAACCTATCACGGCATGGTTTGAGGGTTTGTACGCTTGCGACTCACGCCTTGGTATTAAAACATTTCCAACAATTAATTGATACAATCGCTTCATTTTTTTTGGAACTGTGGAATTTCCTATACATATCTAGCTAACTATCTGTAAGCTGAGAATCAAACTAATTGGCTAATAATTTAGCTACACATCAAAATGACGGCTGTACTGATAGATTAGATATGTGAATGTATCACTATTAGATTTCTATTTCTTTATTTTTGAAGAATTGTTAGTTACTCTAATCACAAACCCTCCATAATTCCTTTGTACGCCGTTAATACTGTACTGGAATTTAAATAAGTCTTACTATGTAATTATCACCCGCATTTGGCTGGAAAGCACAGGTTAACCCAAGAATGAAAAGAGCGATCTGAAGGGGTGTTCCAAACTTCATTTCGCAACTTGCTTTACTGGATCTGAACTGAGGACCTAAAATAAGAGGAACAGATCGAAAAAATATTTTAAAGGTAATACATTCAGTGTATTGGCTTAATAATGATACCCATGATACACAACTTTTGTGTTTTATGATGATACGCTAGACTGAGTAGCGGCTCTAGGAAAGAGGGGGAAACAAAATAACGGAGAAGGAGCGCGGTTGGGGACGTAGGGGAAAAAATACACCTCATCTCCAGACCCCACTGTCCTTTCGTTTTTTTTTCCTTTCCCCTCTCCCCTAGAGCCGCTACGCAGGCTACTGACACGCCAGATTCGCGAATAATGTTTAAGACTATACGCACAGTAAACAGCAAAATTGTTCAAGTGAACTGCACGAATGTCAAAGAAGGTAATGTTCTCTAAGATATCCGTTGTTTGAGCTTAACTTTCGCATTCTCGAGTCGTGTTACGCGCGTACATTCACTCACTGAAATGTTGTAATTTTCAGATACTTTTCTTTTTCATTACAACTAACATATAACCGAAAGTATTTTCGATTAAAGAAATTCCAAAATGCCATTTATTCTAATTTGAAATGTACTCTCTTTACATTGAAAATTAAACTTTTACAAAGAGTTCTGGTCTATTTTTTTTTTTCGTACGGAATTTAACAGGAAGCATGAATTCACAAAAAGCTACTGCGACTTTACACAGACAAGAACTATTGTTATCGAGAGTTACCTTTGACAAGTGGTGCAATTGTTTGTCACTCCAACTCGTGGTTGCTTGAAGTCAACTCCCAATATGTTCCATAATAACTAACCTATATTGTACCTATCACTATTTTAGTGGAATATTATTGGCTCTTGAGGAACAGTCACATGACTGCAACCTTTTTGTTGTCAATGCTACAAGAAGTACTCAAAAATATTACTATGACTTATTGTCGGTCAACTGAACTTCTTGTTAAGAATGTATCAATAACATGAGGAAAAATTAGCATTTAAATTTTGAATTATCTATGAAAGTGACTTTTATAATTTTAGAATAATGAAAAGTTTTCCTAGTCATCTAAAACTTCATGATTAAAGCATAAGCTATTTAAGAAAACTTTGAATATTTTGTACTGCACTGCGCATCCCAAGACCGCAATGCATTGGTGCTTAGTAAACTTAATGTTTGTTGCTCTACAAAATGACAACTTGCATTTGAAGGTTTTTCCAGAAATATAGATAGATAGCTTATTTAAACACATTTTAAGTGGGCTGACATCGTCTTCATCTGGAAAAGGCAAGAAAAACAATTTTTGCTTCGTGTTGCTCAGTAGGATAACCATACTATTTTTAGCACATGATTTTATCCATGAGTACTCAAACACCCTTCTGGTCTTTTTTTTATATATCCACATTGAGAGTAAAAGAAAAACAAACCCTGACACTCAGACGGTATTT